AACTGTACCAAATAACAGAAACCACATCACTTAAGGACTATCAACAGCAGCAACAACTAAAATGGATAGCACATTTAACTCGAAGAGAAAATAATGATAGAATCAAGATGTTGACATTCCACACTACTTCAAGTAAATGTTAGGAAGGAAACTCCACCAAATACGGGAAAGAGCGATAACAGCTATTGGACATGAAAAACCCATTTCGTGAAAATTGTTTTAAGAGAAAGATTTGAGGAATTTCAAACGGAAGCAGTACTGGCCTCTCATTAAATGAATGACAAATGTTTCCTTATACGGAAACGATTAATATTACCATTACCAACCGCCCATGCAAGCTGAAAACGTATTATTGAAGACGTATATATGCAGATAGTGTATAGATTATCAACGTAGATTGTTGAGATGGGGGAACTTCTGCTCTTATATCCCGTGGGAGCTAAGGATGCCATATATGGGCTCGAGCTGCCGAGTCCTCAGTTGCCTGTTATTCAACAGCGTCTACGCGGCCATGTCACCAGCTTATCGCTTTTCTGTCACTATTTCCATGACAAGTGTTCTAACGAGCTAAGAAAGTGGGCTGAAAAGGTAATAGGCTGACTATGAAACAGTGATATTAGATCTGTGAAATCTTACATGCATTTAATTTCAGCACTTCTTATTAATAACTACATTATTTCTTTCTAGGTAAACTGACCTCTGACTGTTCAAAGAAGACAGATCACCCTGTTGGTCAAAAAAGTCATCAACAGCAGATATGACGTCATCATCACTGATGGTGCTTTTTTTAATGTTGGGGAACAGATGATAGTCAAATCAGGAGAATAGGGATAGTGATCAATACGTTCAAAACCACACTCTTGCACAGCAGCTATTGAAACCAAGAACTTGTGCGCTAGAGCATTGATGGTTTGACTCTGTTTATTAACTAATAAACACAATGCCTTTTGTATCCCATCAAAATCCCTGCTGATGAAAGGAATTTAGCCTTCTTTGGAACAGGGGAAGATGAGGTGCTTCCATTGCATAGATTGTCTCTCTGTCTCTGGTTCAAAATGATGAACTCAACCCTCATTCTAAGGGTTAAGAAACGTTCAAATAAACCAGCTGAATCAGCTTCAAACAATATCAGGTTTCCCCTAATGTGATCAGACGGATACGCTTTTGATCAGGTGTCAGAAAACGTAGAACCCATTGAGCAGAAACCTTCGTCATGCCAAGTTCATTGTTCAGAATATTCACAACTCTCTAGAGCATATCTTGTGAATTTGATTTATAGTCAATCACCCGTTATCCATCACCATGTGACGAACACAATTCATGCTTTCCTCGGTGGTGGCAGTTGCAGAACGTCCATAAATCTTCAAAAATCTCCCTCCCCCCTAAATTCAACTGCCCACTGTTGATAGAGCTGGAGATGTATCCCCTAATGTATCATGACAGCATGAATGTCCTTAGGGGCTAAACGTTTTTTCTGTATGCACTTGATAACACCACGATGCCATACTTAGTCCATTTTTAAGAGAAATCGTTACCAGTTAGTTTTTAAATTTTGTTTAAATAGTTAGATGTCAGTTTTTCTGGAAATAAATAATGTTCCATGGGAAGCATAGCTGGTGTTCATACTGACTTACAGAACAGAACTGATATAGGTAAGAGCATTTCCATGATATTAAGGTACGGTGGCGCCAACTACCTCTATCTTTATATACTACTGTCCCAAAGCTTTTGGCACGTCCGTGTATATATAGGCACATAACCGTTTTTTAGTGCCTTTGTTGCAGATTGTACTGTTTTATTCATTTTGTTATATTAAAAACAGGTCATGTAATAATAATTCAATATTCCAGATCTCGTTTGTTAATTACACACATTTGAAACTCTTAAAGCATTAGTAGTTTTAAAAACTTAAATATTAAATATAAATTGATAATTTATCTGTACATATTCACCACAGATCCTTATTTTCTTTATTTAAAAAAAAAAGTTACGGTATTATAGAACAGATCCCCTGTGCCCAGACAAGTTTCACGTTGTTACTTCTCACTGAGAATTCTTATCTAAAGTCCAGTTGGTATAAATGTGAATAGCGTAAATGATTGATCACTTGAACATTTGTTGGACGATCTCTCTGAGATTCGCCTGTTTGCGTCTCTTTTCTCAAATCAGTCAAATATCTACAGAATGACTCCTAGGGGAATAAGAAAAAAAAATCCGTGACTAAATACATCTACCGACACCAAATACATATAAGTAACTTAAAACAAGGAAAAAGTAATGTGTACATTATGTTACAGTTTATGTAAGTCAGTGTTTTCACAATATTGTCGTGCATTAACCAACAGAAGTTTTTCAGCTTACATCATCTGTTTTTCTCAGAAATATTTACAATAACTTATTTGGTAGTGCACTATTTTTGATACAATTCGAGGAATGGTCATCATATTATAGACATAGGTAATTCTGAGAGAATTGGAAATCCTAATCATTGGCGGCCACAATCTTAACACAAGATACGCAGATGACACAGTGCTGATAGCAGACAAGGAAAGGAAACTACAAAACCTCCTACAGAAGGTAGCGAAGGAGAGCGAGGAAAAGGGACTATGCATAAACTACATGAAGACAGAATGCATGGTTATCAACTAAAGGATGATCCCAAAATGCAAATTACAGGCCGGGGTATCAATCAAATAGGTACAGAAATTTAAGTATCTGGTTGATATTTTAACAAAGGACGGGATGTTCGACGCTGAGACCCAAGATGTAATTAGAAAGTGAAAGATGCCTTCTAGAGACAACAATAGATTAAATTTAATATTAAATACTTTACTGCATTTCAAAACTAATTTAAATTCACTGTTCAAGTTTTGGTATGTGGTTTACTCTCAATAATTTCCTCGTTATGGATATTTGTTTGTTTAAACAGATCGCGATATCTATCAGAGAGATGAAATTTAAATTTAATTTTTTATTGCATTATTTTTAATATTGCATTATTTCAAAATTTTAACACATCACCAGCTAACTATTAATGACAACAATAGAGCACAAATAGTTATTAATTAAAAATTTCGTAATTACTGTATAATTTTAAATTTATTAATTAATAGATTCAGAAGAGTCAGAATCGCTTTTGTATCCGAATTTTCGTAAGAATCATTGTGTAGCTCTAAAGTTTGCTTTAAAATCTTTTTATTATTTTCATCAAAAATTATGATAGTCACGATTTGGAAGAAAAACATAACGTCTTTCGCGATAGTCCTTGTTTTTGATAATCTTCTATCTCTAACAAGAGAGCGTTTTTCAAATATTGCATCATGTGATATTAATCCTTTTGTATCAGGCTTTTTTCGATGGGATGATAATAGTTGTTAAAAGTTAAAAAATAACCATAAATACGTATGTAGCTATTCGTGCTGTTATAATGCTTATTGCCTAAACAATAATAATACTGATTTTTTTTTAAACATTAAAATATATTTAATCACATCTCCCTAATAGCTATCGCTATCTGTAGATGTTTTAGATGATTGTATCTTCCAGTATCTGTTAAAAGACCGGAGAATACACGACCGAAACGCCGTGGAAAATGAACATCCAAGGAAGATGAACTTACAATGATTAAAGTAGCTAATCTCACATAATTCAGAGATGCTTTAAATCTAAGTGATACAAAACATAAAAAGAAGTTCTGCTTTATTTCTTTTGTTGGAAAGATTACGTTAAGATAAGTCCAACTACGTGATAAACAGAGCATAACAAAAAATGGGGGTTAATATGATTTTAAATGTGTAGAGGAATGAATCAGATATTAATTTGTAAAGATTCTTGATTCTATATATATATTTATCTGATTTTCTCATAAAATTAACGTAATTTTTTAGCTCTATTATTCTACTGTAAACATTTTTTTTTTTATCTAATTTTAAATACCCAATTTTCTGGATATGAACCTACAAATTTATTTCACATTTAAGATTTATAACAGTTTTCGAAATTAATTTTCAGAAGAAAGTTTTCTGATTTATTTTGAAAAGTAACGGTAGTAATGATTTTAGGCAGCTCAGCTCAATCCGATTGCTAAAACCGGGGATTATAATCCAAATTTTTCTCGTTGGTTCTCGGTTTCAGCAAAGTAGGCGGGATCCACATTAGCGCCCCCTATTGCGCTGTGGATAACTCGTGACCAATACTTAGAAAATATACATGTTTTAATATGCAAAATGATAAAATCAGTGGATTGTATTGTAATCATAAAACAACCCGAAAGCTATTAAGTTTCTATAAATAAGGGTTAAACCTTTTTTAAAAAAATCAGTCAGTTAATTACCATACGCGATACACGCTTGGGCGATTATGTCTCTTCCGAATTACGATTGAGTAGACAGAAGATTTTCCCGCAGCAGGTTGCCGTTATTTCTGCGGCAGACTAGTTGCCAATCAAGGCTATAGGATCCAGTCTGTTCTGATATTTAACCGATAATTGGGGGGAAATAGTGATGGATTCATATCTTTTCAAAGAGTATTTGCGCGTAAATGAACGTAAAGAACGCAACAGGAATTCGAATCCTGCTCTTCAAATTCACATTCCGAATCGTTAGCCACTATTTAAAAATAAACTTATATAAATTAATATAAAAAATAAAGGAAACATTTCAACGTATACTATTTTCACATGCACGACCATGTCTAGTATCAGTGATCGTCTCCGATTGGTTGATTGATTGATTTGTGATTTTTTTACGGTTTATCAACCCTTTGCAGGTTATTTAAAGGCAGAAAATATTTTTAGATTCTAAGATTTTTTGCTATGGTAATCATTTATTAATACAAGTTTTACTAATTAACCCATAGCTGGGGTGATAAGAAGCGGAATCATACCTTTCTCAATGGTTTTGCGTGTAAGTGAATAGGACAAACCCAACTGGAATTGGAACTTAGCTCTCCGATTTCCAATTCCGATTTGTTATCTATTGCACCACCCGCACATCCAACTTTACAGCACCTAGTATTCCTAAGCGGTTATCCATCTAGGTTACTGACCAGGTTCGACGTTGCTTAACTTTGGTGGTCTCATGGAAACCGGTATTTCAACGTGACATGACCGTAAGCGCTATTCTCTCAGTGCGGGAAAATATTGGAAGATTTACGCCAATCAATCTTTTTGTTGCTATTATTATTATTATTATTATTATTATTATTATACTGTTTGAAACAATTATTTCATATGAGTCGTAAAGTAAATGAAGTTTTTATACGAAAGTTATTGAAAAGTTTTCGCATAAATTCCATATAGTTTTATGCCAGTTGGTAAGAAAGTTGATTTACTGAGCCGGGCGAGACAATTTTTCTTTCCAGAATCTATCTTACATATTTATAAATCTACAATTCGTCCATACTTAGAATATAGATGCCCCATCTGTTCCGCTGCTCCTGATATTTACCTTGAGGTACTTGATAAAATTTAAAGAGGAATCAGCAATATTATTAGCCATGATCTGGACTCTCGGCTTCATTCACTTTTCCACCGCCGCAAGGTGGCCTCTTTGTGTCTTTTCTATAAATACTTTCATGGTAATGGTTCGGATGAACTCTTCGCAATGGTACCTAGACTTTTTGAATTTAAGCGCAGCACTAGACTTGCGTCGAGATCTCCTCAATTTACAATTGAGCTGGCTAGATGGAACCGTAAACTCTATGCTAAGAATTTCTTTTCTCTGACTTCTCGCTTGTGGAACTCCCTTTCTGGTTCCATGCTTTCCAGCTAACTTTAATCTGCAAAAATTTAAATGCAATATCAATAGCTGTCTACTGTCCTCCTGATTGCTCTTCTTTTGTTCTTATTCCCTACTAATGTTTCTATTTTTTTTTACTCTTTCACACTGAGTAACCCCCTTGTGTCTTAGTGGCTTTACTACCTTGAATGGAGTGAAATGATTAAAAAAAGCATGGCCATTCACTAAAAATAAAACTCTCTTCAAAGTCATAGTTGGGTACTGTTACAAATTCATGACGGTCGTCTTCGAGTATAGAATCCAGAGGTTGGCAGTGAATATTTCGGAGACAGTAGGAAAGCGTAGTTCAGTTTCGCAGTGGATATCGCAGCAAAATAGCAGAGCGTAGTTCTTCCTTCTGGCCCCTTCGCCTGACAAGTTGGCACTGGTCATTCCAGTAGGTTAACAAAGATGGCCGCCTTTATACACGACGGATTCAATGTTCTGCGGCTTCTAATTGGTTAATCTTCTATTGGTAGACTATAAAGGGAGTTAAGTCATTTTCACTAACTCACTAGTCACATATACACAAAAAACTGTAACAGGTACGTCTTGAAAGGACATGGAATAAAAAAAAAGGCAGGATGTGGCACAAGGCCGATTTTTATGTGGGGCAATTCCTTGCCCGTAGGCTTGGGGAAAATTCCCCGTAGACCCCGCATACACCTGATCGGGTTTGTTTACCTCCCCAAACGAGACTCTACCTGTAGACATAGCTTCGTTTGGGTTACTCTCTGCAAGCAGAAAGATCGACAAGTGGCAGCGAACCGCCTGACTCCAACGGACTTCCTCTGACTCAATTTGAGTTCTTTATTTATGGCATCTTACCTAGTTCATTTTGTGTTACCGGGGTGTCTTATTTACAACAAGAACCGAGTCTTTATTGTAATAAAATCCATAGCTGGAGGGAGAAGATATCGCTTCATACCTTTCCCAAGATATTTGCGCCTAAATGAATGTAATTAACTCGACTGGAATTCGAACTCAGCTCTCTGATTTGTCATTCTGAGCCGATATACATTACATCACGATGCACAAGAATCAAATCAGACCAAAAACATAGTAATGCTGCCATATCTGGGCTGGAGGTACCCTGTCCTCTTTTTCCTGTCTCGACAAAGTTTAACATCGTTTACATACCTTTATAGGTGATGACATATTTTCCAACCTAAAAACTCTTTCTTAACAAAGTACATGCCTATAGCTATTGCGTCGCCATTTACGTGACAAATTTTCTGACAAGCTACATTAAATAGTTATATTACTTCAGACTTTCACAGCTAAACCCTTTCCATGTCATGTGCACAGTGGCGAACCCTTCTCATTCCTATGGAATGGTAAGAAGAAAGATCTACCCAGATAGCATCTTCCCAAGGGCTATTTCTTTGTGGAACATACTCCGAAGAGAATACTCCACCGACAACTTCACCTTAACATCGTCAATTATCGAATCGATCCGATCCTTGTGAAATGCGTAAAAACTTTATTTTGCACTTCAGGTTGTGACCCTTCGTAAACCGCTTGAAGTTTTCCTTAGTGACACTAATAATTGTAACTTATTCTTGTCCATTTCCTGGTTAGAGGATTTTTGTTAGTAGCACCAAACATTTTAAAATATGTTTTATATAGGTACCTCCACGAATTCGGTATACGTAAGGTTTAGAATGAATTTTAAAAATGAAAAAAGCTTACAATTTAGCTTTAAATAAAAGCTAAAGGATTAAATTCACTATACCCGATAAGCAAAATAATTTGGTGTATTTTAGACGGAAATTATATTGATTAGAATAGACTTGTATTTTTTTTTTCAGTAAAATCGATCACGTCAGTCATTTTTAGACATTTGTAAATAAAACTTAATTTTCCGATTAAAAATCTTGCAAAAATAAAATATATATTTCTGAAACATTATTTGAGTAAAATTAACAAATTTAAAGTTAAGTTAATCTGATTTAAAATAAACATTATCTATAGCATAAAATTTTATACATAATAATTTCCTCTTGTTTTCCTGACGTGTTAATCGATTTATTGAGGGCGGATTGATCGCCGAACGCAATCATAATTATATATGGTGTAGCAGACTACAATTTTTATTAAGGTTTTGGTATTTGTTCTTGGAAGTGAGGAAAACCCTTAAAGCACGTGACTTTTATTAATAGATTTATCGGTTTGTACATCCATATTTTAGAAATTCTGCATCGATATGCATATATAAAAACAAATCGAAATTCTTTTAAAAATAGTGGTCTTTAGATTGTAATAAGATTTAAAATATATATTAGTAAATATAGTTTTACTTAATAACAATATTCCCTAAAATTATCTCATCGAAATAGAACTTTAATGATTCAAAAACTTTATAAATTATTCAATTTTAAAATGTAAAAATGAAAACAAATCTTATAAAAAATCATTTTTCATCGGAATTCATTTTTCTTCAGACAATATTGTTTTTAATAAAAGCGATTAAAAGTTTCTCTAATTAAATAATGTCTTAGTTTTATTGCGTTTTAATTTTTCAATCCGGAGCAGATTTTCAGTAAGACCGGGTCTGATTTTGTAAAATAAAATCGGTGGATTTAAATTCTTCAAAAACTTTTGATTTTAACTAATATAGTCACTAAAAATTATCTCGATGAATTTCTGAAGCTTTCATAAAGTTAATCAAGGGGATAAAACACATGTAAAGACAATATTTTTTCTAAGATTTTCTAATAAAAAAATTCAAAAATAATTTCATTCATTTATAAATAAGCCCTGAAAATTTTCTTAAACTCCTAGAATTATTTGATTTTTGAAAGAATTTCCAAATTAATGTGTCTGTCACCGCAAAAAGACGCTAAAATTTGCTATGCTAAAAGTGAAAACTAACATCGATGCAAAAAAAAACAAGTTTTTTAATCAAAATTTCGAAGGTTTTAAAAAAAGAGTAAAAAATTTAATGAAATCATCAAAAAATACTTTGACGTTTCCTCATATAATAACATAAAGATTTTGACGCTAAAACTATGATTTCATTATATTTGGAGCATGTTTTCATCACGGTATGCTGATTTTTTTAGCGTTTACGTGGAGGAACCTAGTTTTATCAAATATATCACTCATGGTAAACTGCAGTCTTGATCTTTCTGAATGGCACGCTTATTTTCATTAGCAAAATAACATTTCTTAAAATTTTATTTTGTTTCGTTCTCACTTGTTCCCTCACAGACTCTCTCATACATAACCATATACATAAACAATAATTAACTTCAATGGTTCTTCAATTTTATAAACTTTCGAGGAAAGTAACGTTGTCCACATTTTAAACCATTGGTGATTTTCACTAAGGAAGATCATACGTGTAAACATCTTTTGAAACAGGAAATTTTCATGAGAATTTTTTCGCTAAAGAAATGTTTTCATTTTCAAATGAATAAATTAGCAATAAATCCCACGAAGCCACATGTTTTAATCACATTGTCATCAGTGATAATATGATACCAAGACATTTTAAGTATAAAATATCTTTGTCTAAAAAATAAAAATTTCTTTCTATTTCAAATGTTTACGCATAGGATCTTCTGTAGTGAAAATAACTAAGGTACCTACTACCAAAAATTACCTCGAATCTTTTTAATAGTGTGACCCAACTTGTGATGAGCCATAAATGAAATGGTTCTCTGCTCGTAAGAGGTTACCGATGCCTGATATATATTATCAACAAAAAAATGAATGGGTGTTAATTCTAATGCATAAAATTAAAAATAAGTTTACAACTTAAGTTCTTTTAAAATTATTTACATGTTGTTGTTGTTGTTATTATTATTATTATTATTATTATTATTATTTTTTTTTGATTTCTGGCGTTTACACATTTCTTTCCGGGTCCCGCCCAGGGACCTAAGGTTAGAAATGGCATCATGACACTTTCTACTGACAAAAAAAAATATACATAGATAAAGCCCTTCGTAATGTGTGGGCTGTACTTGTCAGAACAATTTTTTGTATCTCCTTGAGGCATGGACTTCCATGAATCCCTTCAATTAGTCTACTGCAATCTTTTCCAACCAGTCCTAGGGCTCCAACTACAACAGAGATTGTTGATGTTCCCATATGCCACATTTTCGAGATTTCTATTTCAAGGTCCTTGTATTTTGACAGCTTTTTGAATATCTTCAAAGATACATTGCAGTCTTCAGGGACTGCCATATCAATAAGGAGGCACTCTTTTTTGTTTGTGGTCTTTAATAACAATGTCTGGGCGGTTGGCCTTGATTGTTCTGTCAGTGTGTATTGTGTAATCCCATAGAATTGTAACAGGTCCTATCTCCGTAACCGGGTCTGGGTGGTGTTCCTTACCAGTTTCTTTCAGTTTTCTTCCCATAGAAGTTGCAGATTTTCCAGTGCAGATATTGGCCCACTCTGTCATGTCGGGTTTTTTATATTCAGTGGGTGCCAACATCGTGTAACCTGATACAAGATTATCAATCGTTTCTGGATATTTATCACAGAATCAGCATTTTGGGCTGACACAATATTTTAGTATATGTGCTTGATAATTCCTAGTTAGCGAGCATTGGTCCTGCGCAGCAAAGATAAAACCTTCAGTTTCCGCTTTCAACCCTGCACTACGTAGCCACTGATGGGTACGGGTTTTGTCAGCTTGTTTGGTACGGGCAGAGTATTGGCCATGAAGCGGTTTATCTTGCCATCGCTTCTGTATCTGGTCGGTTGCATTCGTCTTTTCTGTCTTTTTAAAGTATTTTGCAGTTTCAGTCGGTGTATTGTGCTGTAGTTGCATCTCTACGCCCATTTGAAACTCCATTTTGAATTTGTTGGCTTCTTTCATTACGGAGTAAAGACGCTTACTACTTTCATGTTCCTTGACGCATACCATCATCCAGTCTTCTCTAGTTTCCAAGTATCTTTGGAGGCCAATTGTTTATTATTATTATTATTATTATTATTATTATTATTATTATATCGTTTATGTCTGAATTTCTGAGATGAGTTATTGTCCTCATCTTTGTTGTTGTTATCACCACCTTTCGACTGTTATTCCCTCCGGCCTTCCTCAGGTGTATATCGATCAGAGTATCCTACAGGGATTTCTGAACTGAACCTTTCATTTAATCTTCGGGAGCAGAATTTCCTGTAGATTACCCAGATCGATATACACTTGGAGAAGACGGAAGAGCACAACGGCAGAAATGTTGTGATAACAACAACAATGATAAGGACAATAGTCCGAATATAAATAGTGTAAATAAATAATATATCTTATTATATACAAGCTGCGGGAGAAACACCTACCAGAAATACTTCCGATATAATGGTAAGACATTAGTGGCAACGGTGTCTTCATCTAATGTCTTACTGGGAGGTATTTCTAGGTGATATTTCTGCCGCAGTATTATTGGGAATATGTTGGACTCCCCCGTCGTATCCGACGTATGAGGGTCAAGCAGCTCAGTTCCTAGGAACCGACAGCCCAGACACCAGCACATATGATTTGATTATAGTGGTGAAGGTTTCGTGCAGGACCATCCACACTTTTTGAAGGGCCGAATACAAAGACCTGGTGCACTACGTGCCACAAGGTCCCCAAACGACCCTCCGCAGGTTTTGAATTCAGAATTGTCCTTCTCCTCGACCGGTTTCCACCCAAGCTATAGAACCCGGTCTGTCCTGCTATTTACCCATAGCTGGAGGGAGAAGAGGAGGATTAATACTTTTCCCAAGGTTATTAGCACGAAAGGGAATGTAATGGATTCGACCGTAATTCGAACTCGGCTCTCAATCCAAGCCGGTAATATATCCTTTAGCATATTATTTACTGTTGTAATATAAACAAGAATAAAATGGTTGATACTGTTTATGAAATAAAATTAATTTACATTTAAATTTTTAAACGCTTACAGTATGGTTCTGTGTGAGTGTGTGGGTATATGTATATGCGTATAATAATGTCAGATTTACAAGTAGTTTTCAGCAACAATTTGGATCTAAAAGTAATCCTGTATAACGTTCAATCTATATGCTTTCATTTTGATATTCACCAATGAATTAAGTACATTGACTAGGAACATTATGCTGAAAAATACAGATTTTTTTAATTTTTTTTTTTAATCATTTGACTGCAGACAAATAATTTTACTTACGAATCTAGGCTGCACTAAATATTTGAGAACACATATTTAGCGGACCGTTAAACGGAAGACGATCGAAAGTCATGTTACACGGCGTCAAATTGTATCAATCCCATTTCTCTTCTGGGTGCACAAAGCAAGTTTCCAGTCTGAAGCAGGAAATGAAAGAAATAAATTCCTTGCTCGTGGTATTAGTCTCCAACCTCAGCGATACGGAAATTGCCATTTTCTTCTAGGCGGCCAGTTGAATGAGAAGAACTACAACTGGCTCTGAGCCGGCTCTGCTTAGGTGCTCATGGTAACGCAAACCAAGTTAACGTGGTCTGCAATAGGTCTGGGAGTCATAACCATGTCATGCCACACTCACCTTCTTCCCTCTCAGGGTCAAGGTCGCGCTGTTTATATCGAGTTGCAAGACAAAATATTCAAGCGCTGGATCGAAGGCTTCGTTGTACATGCACCAATTGACAATGAGAGTTCTCTCTCTCTCTCTCTCTCTCTCTCTCTCTCTCTCTCTCTCTCTCTCCGAGTTGGCGTTTTTGTATATATATATATACATATATATATATATATACATATAAATTCCCAAGTGGATAGAATCCAGGTAGAACTCAATGTCCAGGACAGAGTAAGAATATAATATAAAAGGCTAAAACACTAATATTCAATGGTTATAATTTATTACATTGGAATCGTAATCACGATCCAGTTCATCAGACCTACAAATTCAAAAAAATGATATAATAATATTTTCCGATTTCTTTTTGAATTTGTAGGTCTGATGAATTGGATCGTAATTACGATTCCAATGTAATAAATTATAACCATGGAATATTAGTGCTTTCTTTATATATATATATATATATATATATATATATATATATATATATGTGTGTGTGTGTGTGTGTGTGTGTGTGTGTGTGTGTGTGTGTGTGTGTATTTTCTCAAAAAACCTTCCTTACGATCCATTCTCATTCTTCCAAACACTCTGCTAGAGATTTTGATCCGTTGTCAAATGTACAATCGAAAACTTTCATAGTCTCCATTATCCTCAGCTCGCAAGCAATATCCTGACATCATTTCCAAATTGTTTCTTTTTACTTTTAATTTTATCATGCACTTGTAGAATTTGGCAAGTCTTTTAATCATTTCACCCCAAGCAAGGTAATAAAGTCACTAAGATGCAAGGGGTAAGTGTGAGAAAATGTAATAAAAACAACACTATTAAGGATAGAGACCAATAAAAGAACAGGAATTAAGAAGACAGAAGATAACGATTGACATTGCATTTAAATTTTTGAAGATCAAACTTGACTGGAAAGCAAGAAGCCTGAAAGGAGTTCCACAAGCGCGAAATGGCTTACGGTCGCATCACGTTGAAACACGGCTTGCCGTACAATTATCGAAGTTAAGCAACGTTGAGCTTTTTCATTACATAGATGGGTAACCGTTTGGGAATACCAGGTGCAATTAGCTTGGATGTGCGGGTGGTGTGATTGATAATGGCATTGAATTGGAAATCGGAGAGCTGAGTTCCAATTTCGATGGGTTCGTTATATTCACTTACGCGCAAATATCCCTAGGAAAGATATGAATCCACTTCTTCTTTCCCCAGATATGGGTTAATTAGTAAGACTTGTATCACAAAACTATTATTATATCCCTACTCAATTTCATACAATCAAAAATATTTTCTGGCGTTAAATAATCTGCAAGGAGTTGATAAGACGTAGATAACCAATCAATCATTCAATCAACAAGTGAAAAGTGCGTGAGAAGAAACTGTTAACATAGAACTTACGGTTACATCTAGCCATTTCAAATAAATTATATTTCATATCTATAAGTCCACCTGAGTGAGGAAGCCTAAAATAAAACAAGAAACCTCATTGTGAAAGATACTTTTTCTACTGCAGTAAGTGTTTCATTCCTTCTAATGTCACATGATCTGCACCGAATATAATGTCCATCAGAAGCCATTGCTCTAAGAGACTTTGATCTGCAATAATCCCAATATATACTTGGCTCACCCTAAAAGATAACAAAATAAACTTTGCACTCAATATCTCGTCAAAGTATCAGAGAAGTCAGAAAATTGGTCTGTAATGTTGTATAAGTGAACTTTTTGTTTTCATCTGGGAATTAATTTTAACAGTGGATAGAAAAAGTGCTTCCAAAATCCGAAGGTGCGTTCAAAATAACAAAAGTTGCCTTTGAAATGTTAAACAAATTATTAAGAAATATGGAAAATTTCATAAGAAAAAAAGAAAAGAGTACTGAACAGCTATTTAATATCAATCCTCATATATGGCAGTGAATGCTAGACAATTTCCTCACAAATATAGAGGAGACTTCAAACAACAGAAACAAAGAAAAGAGTGCGGAACTGCTATTTAATATCTACCCTAATGGGCGTAGCGTGTAAGCAATGGTTAAGTTTTAAGGAAAATGGAAAAAACAATCAAACTTGCTTCAGAAAGAGATAATTCAAATATCTGTGGCACATCATGTAGAAAGAAGGCTTGGTAATTGTTATAGTGGAACACACCTATTCTATAGTTAATAGACTCTACCACCTATAATAAGTAGTAAGAGTAACGTGGAAGTCGCTCAGTGAGTTGGTCAGTCAGTCGATGTCGGATGACCGTTAGTCGGATACTAAAAGTATCAGCGACCACAACTAGATTTCTCTGCGTCATTACCTATTATATCAAGTTCCTAACGTTTTGTACGTCGAACCTATTTTAGGACCGACTTAGTACAAATACAAGCCTCCACTGTGAAATCACTCCATAACAGTAATTTGGCATTCACATGATTTATCGAAAGCAAAAGGGTTTGCGAAAACCAGCGTGTAATCAACCTAACGAATTTGTGATGGCAGAACAGGGAGTTGGAGGAATAGTAAAAGATAAAAATTGCTAAAAGCTATGAAGGAGAGGAATTTGGTAAGAGGCATTATCGCGCACGTCCAGAAAGAACACGTAACATAGGTCGTCTTCCGGTCGGAATGAAAGAACAAATCTGTGTGTGTGTGATTGTTTTGCTGCTTTTAATTTTTTTCATTAAAGCCGTTAATTTTAGTTGAATTTGAAGTTAATCCATTCTGAATAAAGATGCTTAAAAACACTCGCAACGTTCTTGCTTCTATCTCTCTGGAAGTCATTAATTTAGCAAACAGAAATTAACGGTTTTAATGCAGAGAGACCGAAAAGTCACTAAGGCATTTCAGAAATTACTAACTCCTTTATTTTGATTCTCCCTTGCTCAATTACTCCTTCGTGGATAAACAAACATGGTACTCTACTTCGTGTAAGGTCACTTACTAAACCTTTACTCTCAAAATTTGGCGAATATCTCACACCGTAACGGTGACGATATGCTCACTGAATTTGAATTATTGATGTTTGGTTTTGGTAGAAAGATTTCACTACTTGTGTTTCTTTTTCAATCGTATATCTTTTCATGATTAATTTTCAAAGCTCTTATAAAATACATGAAAGAAAACTAAATAAAAGTTAATAAACATCAAATTTATGAAGCTTTCAGATCCCTTGGGCACTTTTGAGACACGCTGTATAAAAAGCACAGAGTCTTATCGCCTGTCTAAAACATGAAGGCGAAACGGACTGTCATGAAAAAGCTTTTTCAATTCGTCTTGATTCTCCATTTTCGTTCGAATTCTATATCCTACTAACCTCCATATATAAGTTTCTGTGTCTTTGTGTTTATTGACATAACATTATTATAAATTTTCACATAACCGCATATTTCTATTTCTATGTGTTCCCATTGTTTTAATATGTGCATCTACGTCAGTATTTTCGTATATATAACTGTATATGTGACATTTTATGGTGCATGCAAACACACACACGCATACACTTATTAATATTGAGAAGTCACTTTTACACAAAAAACATACACCCAGATTATAACATATGCACACGGTGTGTGTGTGTGTGTGTGTGTGTGTGTGTGTGTGTGTGTGTGTGTGTGTGTGTGTTAATTGTGTACGTATATGAGGGCGGGTGAATGGTGAAATGTTTTAAACATTAAAATGCTTCCATTTTTTTGAAAGAACATTCCGACATGACATTCGTCTGCCCAAGTGTTACATTTGCAGATCACGTGATCCGAGCAGTTCAAAAACACACCACCTAAGATGATCCGAATGACATCTGGGAAGTATATGTGGCATTTAACGGTGCACACACACACACACACACACAATTCCGTCGTTTACATTATCGAGGTGCTTGACAAAATATTCAAGCCCTGGATCGAAGGTTTGGCTGTACGTTATCCAAAAGACCTAAACCCCAAATTATGCGCATTAACAAGGACAGTTCATATTCTTTCTCTGTCTCTGTCTGTCTGTCTGTCTGTCTGTCTCTCTCTGTCTGTCTATCTATCTATCTATCTATCTATCTCTCTATATATATATGTCTCCTCCCCCTCTTCCGCTCTCGCTCAGTCTTATCACCATCTCTCCTTCCCTCTCATCTTCTTTCCATCTATCTTCCTCTATCTCTCGCCCCCTCTTACTCTATGTGTATTTCTGCTCTCCTTTCCTCTCTACCGTTGTATATATATATATATATATATATATATATATATATATATATATATATATATATATAAAGGGTGTTTCATTAAAACGGATCAAAGTCAGCAATCAATAAATCAGTGTTAATGGCAAAATTTATTGATTTCTCTATTGGATCATATTATTTAAGTCATGGCAATTATGTGTGAAAAAAAATATCGCCCAAATATCCGCCAAGGCTTCGACGGCACACCTCCACTCAATGGTCAAAGTTTTTGATGACGGCTCACCATAGCTGCTCCTCGATCTCACCAATATGCTTTATTATCTCATCCTTCAGCTGTTGAATTGTTGTTGGCTTGTTGACCTTACTTTTGAAATGACCCCAAAGGAAAAAATCTAAATGCATCAAATCGCACGATCATGGCGACCAATTGACTTCGCTGTTTCGAGAGATGATGTGGCCTGGGAACTTCTCATTGCATTTCTGTTTGAACGTCTATTTTCGTAATAGGCTTCGATAATTTTAACACGTTATTTGATTGTCAATCTTTCCATGGTTGAAATTGCCAAAGACTTAAGTTGTTAAATTTGAAAGAAAAGAAAAAAATCATTAGACGCTTAAAATTAATTCACACTTAAATTCGGTCCAAGTTATTGAACTTTTATATACCTTTATATATATATATATATATATATATATATATGCCGACAGTGGAATTGGCGAGCCGAATACAAGTTCCAGCCTAGTCTGTTGCGTTTATTGGGAAAATATAAGTTCATTTCTACCCAACCTAGATATGTATTAAATAGAAGAGTACATTAGGCCCTCTAGACTTGGAACAACTACTCTTAATTCAAAATCGTTGAGAAAGAATCGGATATCTATTCCATTAACCCTTTGATCCCTGACCATCACTTTACCGGTTGTAGAGAAAAATGACTTAATGCCCAGCTACCGGTTGAACGGTGGATAAACACTTGTAACAATTTTTACTTCCACTGTGAAACATTGCATCCTAGTTATTTGCGAATTTTGATTCAGGAGCTCAGGCAGAAGGATTAAAATTGTTCAGGTATCAAAGCAATAATTAATACAGGTATTTGTGGAGAGCGTTGGTTGCTAACTTCCCAAAGAGATATGACATTTTGTAAAAATGGTATCTAACGTTATGTTTCTTCGTTTATAGAAGACGGGTAATTAATTCTAATGTTTTGGTAATCTTGGAAGTGTTTTATGAGACGAAAGAAAATGAGACACCCGAATGCTCATTGGAACCGCGAAAGACGCTTTTGAAAAGTATTAAGAAACGGGAAAATTTCCTTAGAAATAAAGAAAAATAGTGCTGTGCCGAAATCTCCATTTCTCCGATATGGCAGCACTGAAAGCTAGACAATTTTCCACACGGACGAAGCCGAGACGTGAAGAAATAGAAACGTAGTTCAATATAAGAATGCTGAAGATACTATGTATGGAGCGAGAGAGAGGAAAGTTTTAAGGGAAATGGAAACAAAAACCACTTAAAATTAAAATTAAAAAGAAAGATTTGAAATTTTAGGAACACATAATGAGGAAAAACGGCTTCAAGAATTTAACACACACAGGTCACATTGAGAGCAAACGGAACAGAGTGGAAACGTCGAGTAACCTATCTAATGAGTTTGTATAAGAATATAGTTTTAATTACAAAAGATATGAAGTTGTGGAGAACCTTGATCGAACAAGTCCTGAATAATACGACGCATAGAAGTTGGCCATTTGAAGGAAACTTACTATTTTCAAAATAACGAAGAAATATCTGTTATAATCCAAATTCACAGCCTGCTATTTCTTCCTGATTTTCACTTTGCATCTCCCATATTTTTTCCCGCGCGGTTTGATTTCTCTGATGTAAGCAGTTCCTCCTCTGGAGGTCTACGATGTTTAAAAAATGGTGGCGGAGACAGCAAAATATGTTCTGTGAGGGGTCGAGTTCACTGTAAATAAAGCGACTAATATTTCACGGGCGTCTAGATTTACAAACAAGGGAGGTCGGCCTCTTGAGTAACGAATTCTCTGGCATATACGGCTTGTTCAAATATATTTTCTCTAAATACCTTCCTTGGAGACCATCTTTTTTTGTGTGTCGGTTGTTTCTTTTCATTCTTTCTTTGCATTTGTTTCCATTATTTTTTAGTCGACTACAAATATGAAAAAGAAAGATTCATATTAAATCCATTCATTTAGAATTCCTACATGAAATTGACAACGCTTCATCAAAGAAATGTTGATAATACTATTCTGTATCTTACAACTAGAAATTGTAAAAATAAACAAAAACAAGATGAAAAAAATATATAGGAATAAATTGAGTTTGGACATTCATCTCCACACAGGCAATCACATTATTGAATTAAGTAAACCATCTGACCGTAGAAAAATGCCTATATGTAGAAAGTAGCGTGACGTCTACATGATCGTTATTTTTATTCTATCCTCTATTACTATTCAGATCGCTATATCTATTTTATCCTCTATTACTATTCGGATCATCATTTCTATTCTATCCTCTATTACTATTCGGATCACCATTTCTATTCTATCCTCTATTACTATTCGGATCACCATTTCTATTCTATCCTCTATTACTATACGGATCACCATTTCTATTACATCCTCTATTGCTATACGGATCGCCATTTCTATTCTATCCTCTATTACTATTCGGATCACCATTTCTATTCTATCCTCTATTGCTATACGGACCACCATTTCTATTCTATCCTCTATTGCTATACGGATCGCCATTTCTATTCTATCCTCTATTGCTATACGGATCACCATTTCTATTCTATCCTCTATTACTATTCGGATCACCATTTCTATTCAATCCTCTATTACTATTCGGATCACCATTTCTATTCAATCCTCTATTGATATACGGATCACCATTTCTATTCTATCCTCTATTGCTATACGGATCACCATTTCTATTCTATCCTCTATTGCTATACGGATCGCCATTTCTATTCTATCCTCTATTACTATTCGGATCACCATTTCTATTCTATCCTCTATTGCTATACGGACCACCATTTCTATTCTATCCTCTATTGCTATACGGATAGCCATTTCTATTCTATCCTCTATTACTGTTCGGATCACCATTTCTATTCTATCCTATATTACTATTCGGATCGCTATTTCTACTCTATCTTCTATTACTATCCGGACTGTTATTTTCTACTCTATTCACTATACTATTTCTCTTCCCGGATTACTATACGGATTACTATTCGAGCGAGTGTTATCGAGCTAGTACTATTAATGAGAACGTTATTCGAAGGCGTCTTACACCAGTATTGTTCAACGGCGTTACTATAGTTGTAATCTGCGATTACAAAGTCTCTACTACAACGAGAATTACAATGAGTGTTCGGTGACATCACAAACATAATGATTGACAATGCTTCATCAAACAAATTCGAACAACTATTATATCACTTCACTGATTGATTCGTTTTCTACGGCTTATCAACCACTTGCAGGTTATTTAAAGCCAGAAAATATTTTTAGATTGTAAGATGTTTTTTGGGAGATAATAATGATTTAGTAATACAACTCTTACTAATTCACCCATAGCTTGGGAAAGAAGTGATGGGTTCATACCTTTGCCAAGGTTATTTGAGCGTAAATGAATATAATGAAATGAAACTGGAATTGGAACTCTGTTCGTCGATTAACAATTCCGATTTGTTATCTACTACCCCACCCGCACATACAAGCGTATAGTACCTGGTATTCCCAAGTGGTTACCCGTCTAGGTAATGACCAGGCTCGACGTAGTTTAACTTCGGTGATCGTACGGGACCCGATTTTTCAACGTGATATGGGCTTATGGACATATCGTAGTGTGGTTTCCTGTTGGCTTTTCCATAGATTGGTCATTAGTTAATTTCTTCTTATAGATTGGTTGACATCTAAAATTAAGGAATTCAGTCTTCCATACCTGGGTTCAGAAGAAGATACAGGTTACCTTTCTCCCAGCCCATTTGATAGCAACCGACTAGCCCGCAATTAGAACTCGGATCTCTGATTTCAATTTCCCTTGACGATATCAGCTTCACTGTCATCTGTCTTTTCTTCTTAGCTCAGCAATGGAAAGATTGGGTTCTATAGCTTTGGATGGCAACCAGTCTCGTAGAAGGAATAAACTGATGAACAAACCACAGAAAAGGTAACCGGAAACTACACTACGATCTTTCTCAAGAATGCATGGAAACTCACACCATTCGTCCATGCTTATAATATTGCTGCCACTTATGGTCCGGTGCCCCTGCTATTAACATTGAGCTTCTTGTTAAGATCCAAATATGAACCAGCAATACTACTGGTCTAGATCTGGCTTCTCGACTTCAGTCTCTTTCTCACTGCCTTAAGGCTGTCTCTCCATGTCATTTTTATAAATATTTTCATGGTAATTGTTCGGAGGAGCACTTCGCTATGGTACCTAGACTTTTTGAATTTAAATGCAGTACTAGATTGGTGTTGAGATCTCATCCATTTACAGTTGAGCTGACTAGATATAGCCGTAAATCCTATGCTAGTAGTTTCTTCTCTCGCACTTCTCGCTTGTGGAACTTCCTTCTGGCTCCACGCTTTCCAGCCAACTTTCATGTGCAAAGATTTAAATTCAATATCAATCATTATCTACTGTCCTCCTGATTAATCTCTTCTCTTTCTGCTCATCATTATTGTTTCTGTTCCTAATTCTTCCAAACCCTGTAACTCCTTGTGTTTTAGTGGCATTAAAAATAATAAAAAATAGTGTCATGATCACTTCCATCCTGAAGAGATATCATATTCAGACAATGTATTGATAGACGTAATACTTAAGAGTATTAAGATGTCAGAATATTTTTGATGAAGTATTGTCAATTATTAATAATTCTTTACTTGTATGTTTTATCTTATTTCTATTGATTTTACACTTTATCGTAGCATGAAATGTAATATATTAATACAATAGTCTTAAATTGTTAGAATTGCTCAGATTAAGTAGTATTGTCGCAGCGTTCCTGCAGCTTCCAGCACTCCTGCAGCTTCCAGCAGTCTCCAGCTCACCCCTGCGGCGCTCTACTGACGTCCCGCGACTATTCGAGCACCCGCTGACGACCTTATCCAGTGCCCACTGACGTCTAGCGCCCGTTATCGTCCGGACACCGTTCAAACGACCTCTGTCTGCTTACCATCCACCGTTTGCGAATAAAGACACGATTTCCATCGTCTACAACGGACCATCTGTGTTTGTCATCCTTCTTTGCTATTGCCATCCGTTGCCCTTGTGTGTCCCTTTTTTAGTTGTACGGTCGATTGGCACTCACACCTCTCGGCCCGATGCAACAAGTGGTGACCCCGACGTGATCGATGGACACAGGCAAACGGCTAGCAGAGAAGATGGCGGAACACACCGAGACAGAAATCAACACATCAGCCGCCCTGATACAACTACCGCCATACAACTCGATCAACACCAGGAGTTGGTTTATTCAACTCGAGGCGATATTTTCAGCCCGGAAGGTCACACGACAGGACACTAAATACGCCTCCGTGGTACAAGCCTTACCAGCATCAGTCGTCGAAGAAGTGGAAGACATCCTTCTCAATACCCCGGACCAACTCCCATACACCTGCCTCAAAGAAGCCATTCTCAAACGAACTGGACGTTCGGACGAAGACCTCATCAGAGACTTATTCTCCAATGTGTCTCTCGGCGATAGGACACCATCCCAGCTCCTCCGCCTGATGAAGAGCCGCCTCGGGAACAACACCATGGCAGAACCCATCCTCCGAGGGCTATGGATGGATCGGTTACCACCGAATATAACACAAGTTCTAGCCCTGGTACCAGTAGAGACACCCCTTGACGTAGTGGCCGACTCAGCCGACAAAGTGCACTCCCAAGCTCACCAAAAGGTTCACCAGATTGAGAGCCAAGGAAACTACACACAACGCCTCGAAGAGGAGATGACCCAGCTACGCGCAGAGTTGAGAGACCTGAAACTCTCCCTATGCCGGAGGCAGCGAAGCCCAGCACCACGCACGCGAAATCGAAGCCGTACCCGCAGCTCAAGTCCAGGACAGAGAAACAGTGTGGACGAATGTTGGTACCACCAAACCTTCGGTGACCGAGCCCGCAAGTGCCACCCTTCCTGCAGACGCAATAAGGCCCAGGGAAACGAATAGACCGACAGGCAGCGACGACGATCCCTGTCGGTACTCGCTCACACAGTCGTCTCTTCTACGTGTGGGACCGTAACAATGGCCTCAAATTCCTGGTTGACACTGGCGCAGCCATCAGCGTAATACCACCCACCAACAGATCCGCCTTGAAACCCACCCCATTCCAACTTCGAGCGGCAAATGGCTCCACCATAGAAACCTATGGGAACAAGGAACTCACCTTGAACATCAACCTCAGGCGCGACTTCAAGTGGACGTTCACCGTAGCTGACGTCAGGATACCCCCTTGCTCGGTGCCGACTTCTTGGCACATTACAACCTGGCTGTCCATATGAAGACAAGGACCCTGTCCGACAACATGACAACCATCAAGATCACAGGGATCCCATCGAGCTTCAACTCAACTAGGATCAGCGTGGCAACACAGCACGACCCCCACTACGCAGAAATCCTGCACCGGTACAAGCACCTCACGCAACCCATCAAACCAACTGATGCAGGCGACCATCAGACCCAACACCATATAAAGACCACCGGACAACCAGCATATTCACGGCCACGACGACTCCCTCCACACAAATTAGCATATGCCAAGAAAGCGTTTGAGGAGTTGCTGGCCGACCATATCATCCGACCCTCAGACAGCCCATACGCCTCACCACTGCATCTGGTACCCAAATCCGACGGGGATTTCAGGATCTGCGTGGATTACCGGAAACTCAACGCGTCCACAGTGCCCGACCGGTATCCTGTTCCGCATATCCACGACTTTGCCTCAGGTTTACAGGGGGCCCGCATTTTCTCAAAAATTGACCTGACCAAAGCCTACTACCAAGTTCCAGTCGCTCCGGAGGACATCCCAAAGACAGCAGTCACCACCCCTTTTGGACTGTTCGAATTCCTAAAAATGCCCTTCGGACTGCGCAACGCAGCCCAGACGTTCCAGAGGCTGATGGACGAAGTTCTGCGTGGACTACCATACGTCTACGCATACATTGATGACATCCTAGTGGCTAGCAGAGACGCTGATCTCCACAAACAACATCTGGAGGAAGTGTTCCGCCGTCTAACACATTACGGCCTCCGAATCAACCCAGACAAGTGCGAATTCGGTGCACAAACACATGGACTTCCTCGGACACCACACAGACGCTCGGGGAATCACCCACTTCCCGATAAGATAAAGCCATACAGGATTTCCCGATGCCCACATCGATAAAGCAACTGCGACGCTTCTTGGGATGGTAAATTTTTACCGCAGGTTTATCCCCGGATGCTCAAAACTCCTCACCCCTGACAAATCTTCTCCAGAGGAAAAACAAAGCCATCACCCTGGAGGGCGACCAGGAAAAATCATTCCAAGCAGCAAAAACTTTTTAGCTAACTTTACGAAGTTAGCACATCTTAACGAAGACACCCGGACTCAGATATATCTAACAACAGATGCCTCAGACACTGGAGTTGGAGCTGGTAGAACAGGAGGTTGACAACCAACGCAAACCCATCGCATTCTTCTCGGCTAAATTATCACCAGCCCAGTCCAGATACAGCACCTTCTCGAAAGAACTTTTGGCTATATACCTCGCCATCAAACACTTCCGACATCTACTGAAGGCCGGAATTTCACCGTTTTGACCGACCACAAACCCTTGACAACTTCCCCTGTCGAACAACTCGACAAATATACGGCTCGCGAGATCAGACATCTGGACTATATCTCACAGTTCACGTCCGATATTCGTCATGTCAAAGGAAAAAGACAACTCTGTTGCCGATGCCCTATCCAGATTTGATGTCAACAGTGCAAGACAGCCCACTCAGCCAGGACCCGATAGCAGAGGCCCAGGAACTGACGCAACCCCCCTGAAGTCCTAGCCAACACATCCCTGCAACTGAAAGAATTTCCGGCCCCTTCAGCAACAAAATAGTGTACTGCGATACAAAACTGGATCACCCTAGACCCTACATACCTCCGGCACTCAGAAGGCAAGTTTTCAACCACCTCCATGGATTGTCACATCCCAGCAAGCGCGCTACGGTCAAACTCATTGCCGATCGTTTCGCGTGGCCCAACATGAATACTGACATCCGTAATTGGGTATCAACGTGCCTTAAGTGCCAGAAATGCAAGGTACACCGGCACACAAAATCCCGCCAGGCACATTCAGCAACCCTGACGCACGTTTCAGCCACATCCACATCGACATAGTGGGACCCTCCCAATGTGCCAGAATTATCAGTACCTCCTCACAGTGGTCGACCGTTTCTCCAGGTGGCCAGTAGCAGTACCCATCAGAGATACCTCGGCTAGCACGGTAGCAAAGACCATCCTTCAGGAGTGGATCGCAATTTTTGGCGTACCTAACATCATCACCACAGACCGCGGCGCGCAGTTTCAGTCCTCACTCTTTCAGGAATTCACTCAACTGCTCGGCGTCAAACACATCAAGACCACCGCCTACCATCCCTGCGCAAACGGCCTTGTGGAAAGGTTCCACCGAACACTAAAGACTCTCTAACTACAAAACATCCCACCAGCAACTGGGTAGACGAGCTACCCTAATCCTTTTGTCAATCCGCAACACACTCAAAGAAGACTTAGAATGCACTCCAGCCGAAATAGTCTTCGGGACAGCACTCTCTTTACCCGGCCAATATTTCGACGACACCATACCCAACCTAACCACTGCAAGTCCTTTCCTCAGGAACTTCGCCATAAAATGGCCCAACTGAAGTATACACCACCCAGGCAATCATCACCAGCTATCCACGTTCCACAACAGCTTCAGGACTGTGAGTTCATTTTTGTCCGAAATGACGCGGTAAAGAAACCACTAACACCAACATACCAGGGTCCATTCAAAGTCTTAAAACGCTCTGAGAAGCATCTCACCATTGATCGAGGAAGCCGGACGGACACCATCTCCATCGACAGAGTCAAACCAGCTTTTCTGGAAAAATCCCCACGGGAGACAGAACCCGTCTCAACACACCCACGCAATCGCAACCGTCAAAACCGAGGTCGGAGCCAATCCCAGAATCACCCATCACTCCACCTAAGCAGACCCGTCTTGGAAGGAAAGTCACCTTCCCTAAGAAGTACAAGACATATATTTTCTTCTAATTGATAATGATCAATTATCCTGGGAGAGGGCCTTTGTCGCAGTGTGCCCAAACACCACTCCCATCCGTTTCTTAAACAACCCCGGCTATGCCTGCTGATAGAGAAAGGTCACGGTCGTTGTGTGCTAAAAAATAGCAACGACATCCTTTCAAACCTTCAGAAACACACAAAACTCAATTTTCGCCACTAAACAAAAATAAAAGACCTTTAATTCCGAAACGAAGTTAATGTAAATACAGTCAACAAACTCTGAACACACCTTTGACTGTAATTAATACGGCCCGGAATTAATTACTATTCATTTACTTGTTTAGCGTCACCGCTTTCTCTTGTATGAACCGTCATACCTATATCCCGGAGACTTCGCGGCGGTTTTTAACCGGCCTGGGGGAGCAGCCCGGCCTTCGGGCTGGGTTGCGACCCATGGCAAAGTCTAGTTTGGACCATATCAGGACCTGCTAAGACAAGCCAAGACCAACTTGGACCAGAACTTGACTAAGCTTTGACCAGCTTGGACATGTTATGACCAATCTTTGACCAGTGACCCTATGCGGAAACAGCAGGTTTTCCCACGAAAAAACGACCTTGTGTCACGACTTGACCGCGTGGGAGTCAAGTATGCCCACGAAAAACGACCTTGTGTCACATCTTGACCTCGTGGGAGTCAAGTAAATACCACCGGCCTGGGGGAGCAGGAAGCCTCCCTATTCGCGACTTTGACGCTCCCAGTCAAGTCGACCCAGCCCAGCAGCTGTCGGGACCCAGCAGCAGTAGCAGCAGTTGTTCAAACAGTCCTTTTTCAGGGCTAACTTCCGAATGTCATTCGATCACCACTCTTCGAGGCTCAACACAGCTCACTCCTGCACCTTCCAGCGCTCCTGCACCTTCCAGCTCACTCCTGCACCTTCCAGCGCTCCTGCAGCTCCCAGCTCTCCTGCACCTCCCAGCGTTCCTGCAGCTTCCAACACTCCTGCAGCTTCCAGCAGTCTCCAGCTCACCCCTGCGGCGCTCTACTGACGTCCCGCGACTATTCCAGCACCCGCTGACGACCTTATCCAGTGCCCACTGACGTCTAGCGCCCGTTATCGTCCGGACACCGTTCAAACGACCTCTGTCTGCTTACCATCCACCGTTTGCGAATAAAGACACGATTTCCATCGTCTACAACGGACCATCTGTGTTTGTCATCCTTCTTTGCTATTGCCATCTCCTTGCCCTTGTGTGTCCCCTTTTTAGTTGTACGGTCGATTGGCACTCACACCTCTCGGCCCGCTGCAACAGTATCAATTAATCATTTTTCATCTAGTGGCCTCTGCGATCTCGACTGAGGTAGAATTAAAACAATTAAAACGCCCAAATAGTGGTGCCAACATTTCAAATCAGATCCCAGTTCCACCGTACTTCCTGATAACTGCTTTATGTTATTCATCATGACGGTCGTCTTCGAGTATAGAATCCAGAGGTTAGCAGTGGATATTTTAGTAAAAGTAGCAGAGCATAGTTCGTCCTTCTGTTTCTCTTCGCCTGACAAGCTGGCACTGGACATTCAGATAGAGTAAACAAAATGGCCGTCTTTATACACGACGGATTGAATATTCTACGTCTTCTGATTGGTTAACCTTTTATTGGTGGACTATAAAATGAGTCAAGTCATTTGGACTGGCTCACTAGTACATAATATACACAAAAAGCTGCAACATTTTAATCCTAGATTGGATAGGTATAATTATATTTATTTCTATCTGAAATGAGGCCACACTAGTTAAGCACCCCTTAACCGTGGGACTCTCACTCTGTGCTGGATTTCATATACAGGGTGCGATGGGTAAATGGTCGCCATTTTATATTTTTAATTTTGCGCATTGTTTGATTTTGATTTTTTTTTAAATTTTATTTTGTCGACTGCACGGTATAGTAGGGTAACGTGGACATCATCTGTGAGAAAAAGAACAACCATAACGTAATTCAGTCTGCCAGAAATTTGGAAACGGCATGTTGTACTGATTTGCATTCGCACCGGAAGCTCCAATACGAACATTTCAGAGTGTTTGGGTGTCACTCTGAGGACAGTGTTAATGTTTCGGAAAGAGTTGGATGAGTCTAATGGTGATTACGGAGATGTTTGGAGTGATCATTAATGAAGACGACGTATATGCCACTCTGTCTCAATTCATCTTCGCACAGACTGTCACTGAGGCCTAAAACCCCTTTGATTATTATATGTAAGTCGCAGTTGAGTGAGAGACCAACAAAACTCCTTTTAACACCAAAGATGAACTGAAGGCAAGGATTATGGCAGCATTCACCAACTTAAGCAAAGGCGACCATCCAGAAGATTTGCATATTCCGAACTCGCTTGGAGACCATAGTTTAAGCTAATGGTGATTTTATCATTTATTATCTCAAGATATTTTTGTGTAGTTTTGGTAAACATATCTGTTAAAATAAGATGTCAATGTTATTTTCACTTTTGCGTAATTTAGACGACAATTTATCTATCGCACACTCTATAGGTAATAACTCAACACTGAAACCCAAGATGATAGAAGATTTATATTCACAATGCTGATGCTTGATTAATTTAGTGGGGATCGAAAATGCGGTGCTAACGAATTAGCCCTGAAGACAAGCTTGCTAAATCTTGTGTTACGCCCAGATCAAACTGACAGGAAATTTACATGTTATGAAGACATTTACTCCAAGTATAAATGCACTTTAAGCACCGCCATCATTTTTATGATTACTGCTTTCTTACACCCCCCCCATCCGTCTCTTCATTCTCTTCTCTCAAGAAAAAAGAAGTAAAAATGAAAATAAATACGTGTATCTGGTCAAGACATGCAATTGAATCAGTCTTTCCCATTGCTTCTTCCATCGTTCTTTCTCAATCAACATAGAGACACGTTCGCTAACATCAATTACCTCGCCTTCCTAAGCCGCCATATCTTCATCGTTTCTAGCCGGGGATGGTTAGGGCGGTTGTAAGGATATCAGCTTTAGACTTTGGACACTGTATTTGACGCCTTTGCAGTTCCTGGGTGAATCCGTCCCGAGGCGACACAGAAATTTCGATCGCTCTGCAAGAGCCGTTATTTGAGCCGCGGTTGTGGCGAACCCGTTCAATAAGCCCGCATCCTCGATTCCCGCCTTTCCTTTACCATCACCGCCAAGCTTTACTTGACCGGTCAATTTCCTCACCTACCTTGCACACCGCAGTCGTGAGGTCAACTACCCAACGCTCGTTGCTGTTGTGAATGGTAGCGGAGGGGGTTTGTTAATTGATTTTATGGCGCGTATGACCACTAAGGAAAAGAGAAGGCGTGAATTTTAAAAAGCACGCCGATGAAAATGTTACTCCTCCTACGCATGTGTATCTTTCGATAAGAGAAAAATAATGTCGATAACAAAATAAACAGAAAAAAGCAAAGAGAAAAAAGCACTTCCATCAAAGAGAAGGGGCAGAAAATTATTACAAATTAGGTTTGCCTTTGATTTAAAAATAAAAAAGAATCTCTCTCTCAATTTTTTCTCTCTCTCTCTCTCTACCTTCAGAACGTGAGAAGTCGTAGCTCCCCACAGCTTCCTGCACTGTGTTGCTCCTACTTAATACTGCTTTTTTTTTTAGAAGTTCGTCCCTTGTTTCCTGTTTAGGATTGGGTTTCCGGTTCCTTCAACTTTGTTCTACTTGATGCCTTTGCCCGAAATAGGCACGGTGGAATAATGGTTAGTTGCTCAGATTAAGGAATCGGAGAGTCGAATTCGAATTCCAGTCGAATCCATTACATTCACTTACGTGCTTTATACCCTTGGGAAAGGTATGAATCCTCTTCTTCACCCACCCAGCTATGGGTAGATAGCAGGACAGACCAGGTTCTATAGCCTTTTGATGGCATTAAACAATAAAAAAGCAGCACACCAACCCAACTCTCCTTTTCTCATTGTTTGCCTTAAATGGTTCCGTTATCTCTTCCTGATTGTCCGTAAAAGTTATTTTGTCGTTCCTTTTCTTTTTAGAAATTCTTCATCGAAGAGTTCATCGATTCAAAACCAATATCTTTCTTTTATGGTGGAATATACGATTTAGCTAATAATGATGTAAAATATCCGGAAAATACATAGTTGCTAAAGATTTTGTGGGCGAGCTTGTCTCTCCACAACTTGCTATATTTTCAATTAGGGAAAAAACGAACAGTAACAAATAATTTCAAGTATTTTCTTTTTAATTTAAAACATGAACTCACCGGTTTTGTATTGAGGACACAAAATTGTCCATGGTTGCGATCGGAATTTCATCCGAACAAAACACTTTACGCAAAAGAAACAGTTTCTCCTTTCAATTTGCTCTCTTTATTCATAGACACATCTTGAAAAGATGTCCTCCATTAACGGCTTTGCGATTTGTGAACTCACTATAGTGAACGACTTTTTTATTTTGTTGGAATGCAGCATTTCATCTAAAAACGGAAAAGACCCTACGTAAAGCTGAGTGTTTTCCTTCATTTTTATCACCGCCAACTCAGCTTTAACTTTAATTGAAAAAGCTCTCTACACTATAAAAAAAAAGACCCTCTCGTAAATGAACTTTTGATGAAAAAAAGAAATCTCCTCCCTCTGAAGATCATGGGGTTACCTGAATTGAAATTCATCAAGTTAGGGGTCATGACCTTCTTTTTTTTCTCTTTGACTCAAACAATTTCTTTCTTTATTCACTCGACTCACTTTTCTCTTGTGTGCATCAAAACAGGATATTTTCTTTCTAGACCTATATACAAGATTGATCGATTCAAGGAGAACACACCAGAATCATCTTATAGGGAGATTAAGATCAAATTTAATTCTAAAGCATCAAGATCTGGCCTTCCTAAAGGGAACGGCATAACTTCCAGGTGGTAGTGTGGAAAATGCAGTCCAGGAGTGGACGGTTAGAAGAAAGGCGATATATATATATATATATATATATATATATATATATATATATATATATATATATATATTAGTCACATTTAAGGAACACCTATGAATAAGGGAACATTTACAATTAATGACACTTATACTTAAGGAATACATACTTAAGGAACACTTACACTTAATGAACACTTACATTTGATAAACACTTATGCTTAACGAACATTTACACTTAATGAACACTTATGCTTAAGGAACATTTACACTTAATGAACACTTATACTTAAGGGACACTTACACTCCAAGGGGCACTTATTATTTCCAAAAAGATGAAATAGAATTAGCGGAAAGTTATATTTTATTTTGTTATCTAAAGTTAAAATCCACATCATTTTGAAGAACCTGTTCCTGTATGGACACTGAAGTTAAGCAATGTCAGCCTGGTTAATACCTAGATGGGTGACTGCTTGAAAATACCAATTGTTGTAAGCTTGGATATGCGGGTGGTGTAATGTATAATGGCTCGGAATTTTTAATCGGAGAGCAAAGTTTCAATTCCAGTCAGGTTCGTTATAATCAATTACGCGCAAATATCCTTAGAAAAGGTAAGAATCCATTTCTTCTCTCACCCAGCTATGGGTTAATTACTAAGAGTTGTATCATTAAGTTATTATAATTTAAAACATTCTTACAATCTAAAAATATTTTCTGGCTTTAAATAAACCTCAAAGGATTGATAAGCCGTAGAAAACGCATCAATCAATTAAAGTTAAAAGTCCGTCTGAAAGATTGTTTTTATCTTGCAGGTGTGATCTGGACAAGACGCGCCACACGTCAAAAAGACTAGGCAGCCGACCTCTTCAGGGGGCATTGTTCTACATTTGTCGGTGTAGCGATATAACCACGGTTGTTCACCTGGCAACATCTTATGGCATCTAAGAAAAGGCGAAACGTATATCTGCGTTTACAGTATCAGATTATTTTTTGTTTTGGAATTTACAGTCTACTGAATACGAAGAAAGAAGTTACATGGTTGTGAGAAGAAATGGTAAGAATGTGGTCCGGGAAACAAGAGAGCGGAAGATAGAAAAGTCTTGAAATGACGGTTCTAAAAAATCGGTTCTCAAATTCTGTGTAATTGCTGAAAATTTGGTAAACACGAGG